CGACTGTTGCGATTCGCTAAACAGGTGTTGAAGTAGCTGTAAAACACATACGGTATATTGTTTCGAGTTGCCATGAATAAAGGAAGTCGATCTAATGATCTTTTGATACAGTTTTTGTACAACAACGCCATAAAACATAATACAGAGTTATTTTTGATTACCAAGAAGCTTCTCATCACTATTTCATATTATTAAAACAAACAATGTTCGTTCAGCAACGCTTGTAAATTCACGTACACCAACTTGATTTAACATATAAATTACTGCAACTACTACAGATATAAGATCGCTTTCAAAAAGTTATATTTTATGTTTGGTAGCAGTAGGGCTATTGTGAAAGAGTTTGTCCAGGGAAGTACTGCCACCTTACCTATTTCTGCCGACAAGCAGTAATGTGAGCATTAACACTACTTTCCTAATCTATGGCAACAGGTTAACACACATACACACAGACCCCCTCCCCACAGACATACATACATACGTACACACACTCACACTCACTCACTTACTCACTCACACATACATACATACACACACTCACTCGCACATACATACATACATACACACACTCATACTCACACTCACACTCACTCACACACACACACACACACACACGCACACGGACACGCACACACACGCACGCACGCACACACACACACATACTTTTTCATATACAAATGCACACACATACGTTTTAAGATTCAAATTAAATTTAAAATTAGAAGTTAAGAAAATTGAAAATTGTTAAAAAAAAAAAAATTGTTTGTTTTGTTTTTGTCGACCTTTGGAAATGTAAAAATTAAACACTACATTATGTATAACTTAAAAATGTTAAATATGCATTTATAGCTATGGAAGAGCGGTGCCTCCTGACACAGGCTTGATAAGCTTAATAGGAGGTACCATCTACTGTTAATGTAAAGTTAATTGTATTACTGAAATAAACATTTATTATTTATTATTATTATTATTGCGATACGGTTTAGTGTAAAGGTGCCGGTGGTGGGACTGCGATTGAAAGCTCTGAGTGGCACTGCAACTGTTGCGGATAGACGTGTTGCTTACCACCAGGAGCACGACTTGTATTGTGTAAAAATTCCCTACCTAAGTGCAGTCTTTCTTATTTTTCTTCTTTATTTGGATATTTTTCCCGTAGACTTAATATGGCGACCTTTGACCTGGATCGTATCCAGTCACATAGCGATATTAATAGTCGATACTACCTCTAGCTCGAATTCACATATTTCCCGCACTAATTTGGTTCATTTTGTATGTGTTTTTTTTTGTTTTTTGTTTTTTGTTTGTGTTGATTTATTTGTTGTTTGTGTCAATTTCAGAATTTATTTTTTTACAAACGAAATTTGTAGCCATTTGAAAATTGTATATTATATAGTATATGTGTTTTATTTAGTTCAGTTGATATACAAAAATGATGTATGCAAAGTACCAATTTTATTTTTTTTATTTTATTTTAACAATGGAGAGGAGAAGAGAGAGACATTTGTTACGTAATGACGAATTTGTGAAAGTGATAATTAAGGGGAGGATAGAAGGAAAAAGAAAAAACGCAAAAAAAAAAGATCAAAGTGAACAGCTATAAAGAGGTCAAAGAACTATGAACCGTGAGGAGTGGAGAACGCTACACCGACAAGAGTCTATGTGAAATCAACCAAAGCCATTTGTGTGTGTGGCTTGGAGTTCATATGAACTTTGTTATCAAAATTCAACCTTTTAGAGTTACTCTAAACTATATGTCCATGAGTAGCATATTTTATTTTGTTTATTTATTTAGACATTTATTTCTGGCCACATGACCCATATAATATATACCTTAAAAACTAACATACATACAATATAATACAACATTGACTTACAATTATATGGACGTCGGGTCCGCGCTAAAAAATGTCCGAACTTATAGGGCGTTAAAATCGTATACAGAGCGTCATTCACGCTTTAGTCTTCGTTTGTTCGACTGACAGCGAAGCAAGCAAAATTAGACAGTACTGCGATGACATTACAATTTAAATTCAACGTTTTAGCTTTTTCATATTCCTTTACATGTCACTACGTTTAAATAGGTTGACTTGGGACATTTTTTTCGTGGTTTGTGTATTAGACGCGTCGTCCATTTATTTGTAAGTCAATGTAATACAACAATAAAATAAACTAAATAACTAATTTACACGTAGGTACTGCCTTGTCGGTGACGTGTGCCGCAATCTGGTGGCAGGTAACCAGCCGCGTAATCACCGATATATGATACCCTTCAGCCAAAACTCTTTTTCTTCATGAAGATCGACAAATCTTCCGTCGGCACACTCACTTTAAAAGAATTAAAATTTACGTTGTGCTTACTATTACGTTTAAAGCTCTATCAAAAAAAAATCTGAACAAGTACGTACAACATCTTCCGGGATGTGCTAGATATTGATTGAATCCCATCAAGAATCAATTAACCGTTTTTATCACAATAAATTTACTATTACATTCGGCAGCTTTTATGATATGTACATGAACACGTGAATCATGACGGTTTGCTCGCAATAGCCGGATGTAGGAAACTAGTTTAAAAAAATATTAATTCGTGTATAATTAGGTTACTTGTAAATTGATTTTTTGGATGGATCGCCACGTATCATCATTAAAATTATGGTGTAATTAATCATCATTGACGGGCATGCAGGTGGAGTCAAGGGGCCTGTTTGAATATTGGTACCACAATCAAACAAATGTCGTGAGATGGGGTAACGCTCTCTCTACTCCTTTTGTTGCGGAATGTGGAGTAAGGCAAGGGGATTGACACCTCCAAAGTTGTTCAATTTATACATGGATGCACTGATCGGTGAACTCAGCAACACTCATGTGGGATGCTTCATTGACTGTGTTTGTCTCAATATTATTAGCTATGCCGATGACATGGTGTTGCTGGGGCTATTAATTAGTGCATTAAGAAAATTGATTCTAGTATGCGAGGAATATGCTGCCTCGCATGGGCTAATTTATAACATCAAAAAGACTGAGTATATGGTCTTTGGGGCTGCCGGCAAGAAGTCTTGAAAATGTGCTGCCTATAATGCTCAATGGATTTCCACTATAGAGAGTCACTTTTAAATATTTAGGACACTATATTGCCGACGACCTCAAGGACTTTATGGACATGGAACGCAAGTGCTGGGCACTGTCGGTGAAGGCGGACATGCTGGCTCGCAGGTTTGCTCGATGTACGGCGGAGGTGATAGTTACTCTTTTTAGAGCCTATTGCACACAACTGTACCTGTGGGCCAGCTATACCCAAAGCTCGCTCAGAGCCCTGGTTACGCAATATAATAATGCCTTCAGGACGCTGCTGCGGCTGCCACGGTTCTTTTTTTTTTTTTTTTTTTTTTTTTTTTTTTTTTTTTTATATATACTAAGCTCGACAGATGACTCCGTCCCACCTGATGTTAAATGAAACGGAGTCCAGACGCAAGGACAACTGGTGCAGCGTGAAAACAACGCATCATCAGTCGCCCTCACCCTGCCGGCCTACAAGGTGCTTCTTCACGCCTCGCTTGAAGGACCCCATGTCATAGGAAGGAGGAAATACGTGTGCTGGTAGATTGTTCCATCTTTTGGAAGTGCGACAAAGAAACGAGTCACCAAATTTCTTTGTGCGCGATGGAATGCTAGAGACAGTATAGCGGTGACTCCGGAGAGCAGCACGCGTGCTCCTATGGAGGAAGGGAGAAGGTGGGATAAGGTCAAAGAGTTCTTCAGAGCACTCGCCGTGGTATAAACGGTAGAAAGCGCTGAGTGACGCAATATCTCTACGCAATTGCAGAGGTTCGAGAGTATTAGTGACCTCTGCATTGCCGATAATGCGTATAGCGCGCCGCTGCAATCTGTCCAAGGCATCGAGAAGGTACTTAGCGGAACCGTCCCAGAGGTGCGAACAATACTCCACGCACGATCGCACTTGTGTCTTATACAAGAGACACAACTGATCCGGCGCGAAGAAGCGTCGCACTCTGTTCAGGACACCGAGTTTACGTGAAGCTGTTTTTATCACGGCTTCAATGTAGTCCCTCTGGTTCAGATCGCAGCGAATCTCCGTACCGAGCATGCTAATGCTGCTCTGTAGGCTAAGTGGTGTGCCCTGAAGAGAAGGAAGGGGAAGGAATGGTGTCTTTTTTGCCGTGAACGCGCACACCTGTGTTTTCTTGGCATTGAACTCAACAAGATTATTGGAGCCCCATTGAGATATGAGGTCCAACACCCGATTGAGCTCAATGACAAGATTCACTCGCTTCTCTTCAGTCTCGACCCGCCCAGCCGCAGGGTGACCATTATACCCTCCGTGCACTGTACTATCATCTGCATAGCAATGAATATTTCCAAGTGGAAGCATATCATTGATATGCAGAAGGAACAGCGTGGGGGATAGAACGGACCCCTGAGGGACACCAGCGTTCACTGACATGAATTCCGAAGCGCATCCGTCTGACAGCACTCGGATTCTGCGCTCATGCAGGAAGCCAGCGACCCAGTTGCAGAACTGGGCAGGCAGGCCGTATGACGGGAGTTTGGAGAGAAGAGCTTTGTGCCAGACCCGATCAAAAGCCTTGGCTATGTCAAGGCTAACAGCCATCGACTCGCCACGCTTATCAATAGCCACACCCCAGAGATGTGTAATAAACGCTAAAAGATCACCCGTTGACCGTTTCGGCCGAAACCCGTATTGACGATCGTGAATTAAGGAGTGTTCTTCTAGGTAGTGGATTAGCTGTTTATTTAAAATCCGTTCCATCACTTTACACAAAACTGAAGTTACGGCTATTGGGCGGTAATTATTCGGATCTGATCGATCTCCTTTTTTGGGGACCGGTTGCACATTAGCCTTTCTCCAAGATTCCGGCACACAACCTGAAGAGAGCGAGAGGCGGTAAAGGCGCGTTAACACGGGGGACAACTCCGCTGCACACATTTTCAGAACGATTGGAGGAATGCCATCAGGACCATTAGCTTTCCGGACATCGATTGACTGCAACTCTGCACGGACATCACAGTGCCTGATTTTAAGATCGGGCATTGTGTGGCCACAGTGAGGAATTATAGGTGGCTGTGCATTGCAGTCGTCGATTCGGGAGTTAGCCGCAAAGAGTTTAGCCAGGAGATCGACCTTCTCCTGCGGCTTGTGGGCTAAAGTTCCGTCAGGACATCGTAATGGTGGCAGCGAGGGTTGGCAGAAGTTGGATTGCACGGCTTTGGCCAGACGCCAGTAGCTACGGCTGCCCGTAGGATGCGTCAGTAGTTCTTGGCCGACCCGAGCAACGCGCTGGGCATCCGCTCTAATGTAAGCCCTTTTGCAGGACTTGGTGGCATTATTGTAGGCTGCTTTCAGCGAGTGGGTTTCGGGATCTCCAAGTGCTATACCTTTGATCCAAGCGCGATATGCCTCTTGCCTTTTATCAGCAGCACTGGCACACTCGCGGTTGAACCATCGGTTGCGTCTGCCTTTGCCGATGAGATAGGAATTTGGAATGTAGTATTCCATCCCTAAAACTATCTCATCAGCAACTGCAGCCGCACTAGCTGTTGGGTCCTTCCCACTGAAGCAGCGCTGCCCCCAAGGAACGGATGCGAAATAATCCCGCATACCATCCCAATCTGCCGACGAGTGGTGCCAAATCCGGCGTTTCGATACCGCGGAAGGCGGTAGCGGGTCCAGAGGCACTTTACTGGATACCAAGCAGTGATCAGAAGATCCTAAAGGAGCTCGAACCTCCACTCGGTAACCAGCTGGACGATTCGTCAGCAGAAGGTCCAACAAAGAGGGCGCGTGACCGACTATATCTGGGATCCTGGTGGGCTGGTTCACCAGTTGAGTCAGGTCGTGCGTGAGGGCGAATGCATGGGCAGTTCTACCAGCATGGTCAGTTTTGGAGGAACTTAACCACAACTCGTGGTGAGCATTGAAGTCCCCCAAAAACACCAATTCCGCCAATGGAAACCGCTCCTGCGCATCATCTGCTACCCGACTAAGATGGTCCATAAGTCGAGTTGTCTCCATGTCGCCATTATGGGATCGGTAGACGCAAACATAGACACGGCTATGAGAGCCCAAGTCGACGTGTACCACAAGGAGGGAAAAGGAAGGGTCCTCCAGACAGCGCAGACGCCGACAACAAACATCCGCCCGAACGAACAAGCAAACTCCGGCTTTGGCTTTGAAGGATTCTTCAAGCACAAAGCCCGGATAGTGCAAGTAGCCTGTGTCGGCCGGGCAGATTATTTGCGTCTCCGTCAAAAACATCATTGCTGGCCGTGCCGTCTCAAGATGGTGGTGGACGGCATTGAGGTTTGCATGGAGTCCGCGGATGTTAGCGAACTCGACCTCAAACGGTTTGGTTGTGGTGGGGGTGTGCACCGCTGTTCGACCAAATTTTATTTTAAGCGCTGTCATGGTGGATAAAAGGAGGGAGGTGTGAATCGAGGAAAAGCTACCGCGATGCAGATGGTCAAAGTGTGGCGGCCTGTTTCGCCAGAGATCTGCCTACAGATGAGTATCATTAACCCGCCGGACGGAAGGGCCCCCGAACCCCCCCGGGAATGGCCACCGGGACCCCACCTTCCGGTCACCAACCGGCACGACGGACCACCCCGAGATTATGCGTGGCATGGTGAGGCAGCCTCACGAGCTGGTTAGACTCGCTTGGGCCCCTGTACTGTGCCACGGGCGGCCAGCGGAACAACCGTTTCTACGGGTCTCCCTGGCCGGCGGGTTATCAAAGTCTTCCTGGCACTGGTTCGACGGAAGCCTCCACAGACCAACTGCATCGCGGCAGCATTCACTCGAGCTCTGGTTATACGCTGGCTGATCCCGAAACGCGACCGACAAGCGGTCACTTGACGGGTTTTACACCATGCGTACGGTGGTCACTAACCAGACGGGCCATGCCCTACCACGCAGTAGAGCAGATGGAAGCTCTAAAATCCGTTAGTCGCCTCTTACGACACCCATCGGAGGAAAAGGGGCGGAGAATAGTATTCTTTCTCCGTCTCCGCACGGATAAAATATATAATATTCTGTAGTGCGTCCGCCATGTTTGCTGAAGCTCGCTTCGACAGCCTCATGGCACTCTTACGGAAGAAGTCGGCGTCTTTATTAAACAGAATACGTGGCAGCAGCAACGGACTATTGAAGACTATCGCGGATAGGAGTGAGCACCCCGTGATGCGATACTTAACAACAATCACAAAATCCGTAGTAGAATTTAAGTACTAATCTAATTATAAGCTATTTTTGTTACTAACACTTCATGAATCCCTGTTGTTCGTAATAAAGATTTATTATTATTATATATATCTATTTTAGATTCTGTCAAAAAGACTGAGTATAAGGTCTTTGGGGCTGACAACAAAAAAGTGTATTAAAATATTCAGTATGCAAGCCATGGTTTTAAACCTCGACGCAAAAAGAGGAGAGTTATAATATTATAAGTTCCAAACCTGTCTCTTTTTATAATACCAAAATGACGGGATGCACAGTCGTGCTCCTGATGGTAAGCGACACGCCTATCCATAACAGTTGCAGTGCCCCTTTAAATCACAAACATTTTAAAGTCCCATGCGCCTGTAATTTCACAAAAACCTTCCAAAGCGGAATTCAGTAATGCTCATATCTTTTAGCGTCTTAGATCTTTGCGATTTGAAACTCTGTGATTGTACTAATTAATACGAGCAACTTTTAGTATGGTAACTTTTCTGAAAAATTAGAAAATCAGCAACTCATAAAAAAAATTCCATTTCATGCAGGAAAACTAAAACGAAAGAATGTTTAGGAGAAGTACTCCCTAGGCTACTGAGGCATTTCGGAGGCGGCCAGTTCGGTATACCCAAGCATGCCGCAGTTTTCGTAGCTACGACCATTATTATTATTGAAGTTTCAACTATAATGCCTTAACTGCAAGCTAGCCCTTTGTCACCTAAAAATCTTCTGCCGAGCTGTCTCGCCAGTGGATGCTGAGTCTAAAAGATTTCTTTCTTCCCTATTACGCGCTGTGGGACAAAACAAATAATTGATTATCACTAGTATCAGGTTTCTTACCACGGTATGACTTCTTTTTATTTTCCCGATATTCAACTCGTGACTATGGAGCGTGCAACCGTTCCGAAATATTGGGAAAATAAAAAGAAGTCATACCGTGGTAAGAAACCTGATACTAGTGATAATAATTTAGTGAATAACCACGAAAGTCTTAAAATCTATAAAACAAATAATTCGTTTATTTAACGCAGTTTGTACAGCTTTAAATAATGTGTTTTAGTCGACCTATCTACAATTGGGAAAAGTTCAACCATTTTTCGTTTGATAGCAAAGGAAGAACAACGGAGATAGGGATGGAATGTATGAAAGATGATATGTAGAAAAAAGTAATGAAAGGTGGTAAATTTTTGACGACAGATGTGGCCTGAACAGCAACCAGAACCTGTAGTTGCCCAACGGTTTGCATTACAAGCTCTGGATGTGGATTGAATGTCCCAAATTTCGATTCCTGATTTATTTATTTATTCACAATATATATAAATTTAGTGACATACTTTTCTAAATTGGTTCTGGTAGTGGACTTGAAAGTCAAGGGCATAAAGGTAGCAACCGTTAGTTGTGCAATACACAATGGGAAGTAAGCGTGCCAACAGCTCCGATACCTATCTGAAAAGTAGGAAGGTACTATACGTGCACCCGGGGCAGCTCACCCAAAGCGCTAGCCTTTTGAAAACCGGATGAATTTTTTTTAAACGCGGATCTGGATCTGGCGTCAGGTCCTGACTGACAAGGTCCTTGTGCTTGCACAGGTTATAGTTTTATAATGGCTTTCTGGTATACCAGAATGATCGGTAAGGGTCACTATAAACAAAACTTATGTAGAAAAATATACGGGAGAATATTCTGGGTAGTGCCGGTAGTAGGCGGAGTGAATTCCATTGTGCAAGTATTTTATTGTGTAGATTTTCTAGTTTGAGACCTGGTAATTGGTGTGATTGTATGGCATATTATCATTATTCGTCCGACTCGCAAATAAGGGCAGAAGGATAATGATAAATGTTCACGATACTTCTTAGTGATGCTAATATTTATATAATATTGACCCAATAAATAATAAATCATTAATAAGGTTCTCGGGTCATAATGTCGTAACGAGGCGATAATCCACACAGTAATTCAGATACCTAATTAACTTCCATCAACAGCTGTAACATAGTGCCGCTATCAAATTTTATAAACACTAACTGTACAAAATAATTTTAAGAATCACGATCCGTATTACGATCGACATAAAAGTAGAATCGAACCTATACAAAAGCGTTTCTTGAGACATCTAAGAACTGTTTAAGACGTAGGCTCTCATCATACGAAGATAGGTTAAGGTATTTTAAAATTGACACCTTAGAGAGTGGAAGCTCTTCGCACAGCATTGCCGTGTTATATAAATTGGTTAACTCTGTGTGGGATGCTAGTGACTTGTTATGGGATTATGATTGGAAGATACCGCACGCAAAAACTTTTTTCAACAACGTGTCGTTGATGATCTGTTGTTTCGTATGTGCAGGAATTATAATAAGCTTAGTACTATTATTCCACCAACATTTAAAATCATTTATAGCGTCTGTGAGGTCTCAAAAGTAAGTGCGCTCCTTTTGCTTATTTTTTGTACATTTTAAATTTATTTTTAATTTTATAAACGTGCATTTTCGTTTTTAAATAAAACATTTAACTAAATCTGTTTTATTTCAATGTTGTGCACAATTGTCATCTGTTCCAGGCTAAAGAGTGCTGTACTATTAAATTAATATAAAGTATTGTACGTGTATTGCGAGCTGGTGTGGTGTCTAAATAAATAAATAAATAACAGGGATTACATTATCTTTGCAACTAATATAGTAAAAAACTAACAAGGATAACCACAGACACGCCTGTGCATAGCCTTTGTAGTGCTACTTACGAACTTTAAAGCGTAAAGATCTGGGGATACTGTCACTGCGCCTGAGACATAATTGTCTTATTACGTTGAGAAGTCCCACGTGCCTGCAATTTCACCAGCACCCTTACCATGACAATATTTATTGTATTTAAATACAACATTTACATCTTCCTCTAACGCCTGAAACAATTTTTTAGCTAGAAACAAAGGTCTCGAACTTAGCTGTATAAGTATTTGCTATAATGTTTTTATCAGGTGTTTTTGTACAGAACTCCAGATTAGATGATTCTGGCTGATGATTTTGCTCGTATAAATCTTGTCTACAGCTAAGTTAGTTGAGGAATTAACTTGGCTGTGGACCAAACCGATTATACCTGTTGTACCAGGACTGTAAAAGCTACAACTCATTGTCTATCTACCATCAACTCATAGCTTTGCAAAGATAACACAACAAAAATAAACTAAAATCTTTTAATATATGTTATTTAAAGTCACACACCTAACACATGATGATTCTTAGAGAGAAAAAGTATAAGTCGGTTCTAAACGCTTTGCATTGGGTCAATTAAATTCTCCGCACGTCTCAGCGGGTAAGAAAAAATTCACACTTTTAGATCACAGGTCAACAGCTATTTTGGTGCCGGGTATTTGCAATTGATTTCATATGTATTTGATGCTCTGAATTCAAATATGGCATTGGTTTTTGCCCAGGAGCTCAACTTTTAAAATACAACGTTTTTGTGAAATAGATATTTATACTATTTTAGGAAAGTCATGGATCATATAAAATATGTATTTTTCATTATTATTATGAAAATATTATTTATTATATATTTATTATTATATTAATATAGACGATCATCTATGAAACTAAGTCACTGAATACTTTGGAAGCTTCTTTCTTCTTCTTTCCCATGACATTCTTGAAGGAATTTTTGAATAGTCCCTTTTTAAACTCCAGGCAGTCATCTGTCATCATGTGCGCACTAGTAAAAATTGTAATGATCAGCTCCAGTTGAGTTGGGTGAGCATGAGACTTGTGGAGCGCGGGTTCTGGTTTGATCCGATGCTGCGTGTAAAATTTATGAACAAGGAGAGAGAACGGCGCGCTTAACACGTAACTAAAACAAGTTTCATATGGAAATAACCAGATGATTCATTTACGTTAAGATATAAGTTACACGTTAAGAGTACATTACTAAATGCTATGATTTTAATTTCCCGAGGTTACATTTCGAGTTTACAAGATATACTTCTAATTTTTACTAGTTGCCTGTTTTACTAGTTAGGCTGGAACCCACGTCTTTGATAGCGGTCAACTTTAGTTTTAATTTTCTGGTGAAATATTTCACCTAGTTGATAGGATTCATCGTCACTGGGTTTTGTAGCTGGAGAAACGTTGTAATTGGCACTTCCTGATTGAGGCCACGGGCATTTTGCAGAGTTGCTAAGGTTGTTTCGATTGATCCCAACGTATTTA